GCTTCATTAAAGATTTTGCATCAGTAGCTAGGCCCATCTCCGATATCCTGAAAGGGGAGCATGGAAGTGTCAGTAGACACAGATCCAAAAATATCCAGGTGCAATTTAGCGAGCAGCAACGGCTTGCTTTCCAAAAGTTGCGTAACATTCTGGCTTCAGAGGATGTCATCCTCAGCTACCCTGATTACAAGAAGGCATTCGATCTAACGACGGATGCCTCGGCATTTGGCATTGGCGCGGTACTATCCCAAGAGGGAAGACCCATCACCATGATATCTAGGACCCTAAAAGACCGAGAAGTTAACTACGCTACTAACGAGCGTGAACTGTTAGCCATAGTCTGGGCACTGGCAAAATTACGCCATTACTTATATGCAGTAAAAGATATAAATATCTATACTGACCACCAGCCATTGACATTCGCAGTATCGGAATCCAATCCGAATGCGAAAATCAAACGATGGAAAGCTCGCATCGACGAGTCCGGCGCCAAAATGTTTTATAAGCCCGGCAAAGAGAATCTCGTTGCGGATGCCCTCTCCCGACAGCAACTTAACGTTGTGGAGGCGGAAGAAGCTTATTCGTGTGCGGCCACTATTCACAGTGAAGTGTCGCTCACACACACCATCGAAACCACGGATAAGCCATTGAATTGCTTTCAGAACCAGATAACTCTGGAGGAAGCACGCTTTCCGTGTAAACGCAGCTTCGTGCTCTTCGGAAACAAGAGACGGCACAGCATTGATTTCATATGCAAGGAGTCACTGCTTGAGGAGCTCGCGGACGTTATAGTCCCCAAAGGCGTAAACGCCATTCATTGCGATCTGCATACGCTGGCAATGATACAGGATGAATTGGTCCGGCAATTCCCAGCCACCAAATTCTGGCACTGTAAAAACCGTATTACAGATATTTTCGCAGTCGCTGAGAGACGAGAAATCCTCACCACTGAGCATAATAGGGCTCACAGATCTGCACAGGAGAATGTCAAGCAGGTACTTTCGGAATACTATTTCCCGAAAATGACCAAGTTAGCGAATGAAATCGTCACTAACTGCAAGACCTGCGCTAAAGCAAAATATGACAGGCATCCTAAAAAACACGAACTCGGCGAAACGCCAGTACCGTCGCATGTGGGAGAAATGCTACACATAGACATTTTCTCCACTGATAAGAAATACTTCCTCACATGCATTGACAAATTTTCAAAGTTTGCAATGGTCCAACCAATTCCCTCTAGAACAATAGAGGATCTCAAACCGGCTTTACTACAACTTCTTAACGTCTTCCCTAAAGCCAGAGTCATTTACTGCGACAATGAACCCTCATTGAACTCGCACACTATTCGGGCCATGCTGGAAAATCACTTCGGGGTTAGCATTTCAAATGCACCGCCACTCCACAGCGTCTCGAACGGACAAGTGGAGCGATTCCACAGCACTCTGGTGGAGCTTGCCAGATGCCTTAAAATCGACAAAGGCATAAGCGACACTGTAGAGTTGATCTTGCTGGCTACGTCTAAGTACAACAAGTCTATCCATTCGGTCATCGATAGGAGACCGGCCGACGTGGTAGTCACACAAGCAAGTGACCCGCATTGCGAAATACAGGATAAGATTAGACTTGCCCAAAATAAGCTAAGAAGCAGGGAAAATACCTCCCGACAAAACCGAGTGTTCAATGTCGGCGACAAAGTCCTAGTGAAATCCAACAGGAGACTAGGCAACAAGCTTTCACCGTTATGCGAAGAAAAAACTGTGGAAGCGGACATGGGGACCACAGTCCTCATTAAGGGGAGGGTGGTCCACAAGGACAACCTTAGGTAGGCGAGACACAAACATGTTGTCATTCGCTTGATAATTTTTTACTATTTTTTCCATTTTTTATCTCTAGCCACTTGGCATAAGTTTTTGTCCTTATCATGTTTCATTACCATTATTTGTACTCATAACTCATTTACGCTTTATCTCATATGTTTGGTGGTGGGCTACCCAAATGTTATAAAATACTACAACAAATCCAAAATTACAGGTTTAAACCCATACCTCTGCTATTCCTTTTTGCCCTGACATCGGCGCACGTCACGGACTACTCGCAAGCCAAATACATTCCCATCATTGATGGACGAATTTTAGTATGGGAAGAATTCGCATTTTTGAGACACTCAGCGAATCTCTCAGAGTATAGGCGCGTGGTGGAGGAAACTGGTGGCATGATTAACATGTTTCCCCAGTCCCACATGCAAAAGCTTTTGATCGTAGATGTCGGTCACCTGCGTGACCTTCTCGAATCACTAAGCATCCACCATAGGGTAGCCAGGAGTTTAGACTTCTTGGGAGCGGCGTTAAAAGTAGTGGCGGGAACGCCAGACGCGGAAGACCTCGAAAACATTAAACTTACTGAATTTCAACTTATCAATGCAAACAATAGACAGATAAATATTAACAACAAAGTACAGGAACAAATCAATAGTATTACCACCACTGTCAACCAAATTCTGAGGTCGGCTAAAAAATCCCAAGTTGATACGGGACACCTATACGAGATGTTATTATCTCGGAATAGGATGATTGCGATGGAGCTGCAGAATTTATTGCTAGCAATAGCTCTTGCCAAAATCAATATAGTTAGCCCCAGCATATTAGATCATGCAGACCTGGAAAGTGTGTGGATAGAGGAGCCCACAGATACCCCCATTAGAGATATACTGTCCGTTGCGTCTGTCAAAATATTACAATCCGTTAACATTTTACATTTTATTATTAAATTTCCAAAAATTAAGTCAGCATGTGTCAAGATCACAGTTTTTCCCGTGTCACACCATGACACAGTACTCAGGCTGGAGGACAAGGTCATAGCAGATTGCGACGGAGAGATTCACACAGTCAAAAACTGCTCCGTGTCACCTGGAGCCACATTTTGTCAACTGGCGCTGAGAAGATCATGCGCCCAAGAACTCCACGCTGGGGGTATTGCGCACTGCGATATCCAGCATAGCGATTTGCACCCCATCACCCACGTAGATGAAGGCATTATCATCATAAACGATCGTCCAGCTCGTGTGAGGGTGGACAACGGCACTTACGTCCACTTACGAGGAACTCACCTCATCACCTTCATTGAGAGTGCCATGGTTAACGAAACCCGATACGTCAATCACGACGTGGCCCGGAAAAGGGTACCAGGAGTGGCTAGCTCGCCTTCCCTGAACATCACTCTGGAGCACAACATTCTCAGCCTTCCATACCTTCACCGCTTGAGTGAACGTAACTTGGAACATATTAAACAATTCGGGGAAGATATCAACGGCTATCGTTCACACCAGATAATGCTAATCGCAGGAGCGATCTGCTGCGCGTTGATCTGCGTCGGTCTCACTTATCGGCGAGTCACCCAGGCCAGGAGATCCACGGCCCAGCTAAGGCAGGTGATTGCCCAAATAGGGTCGGCCGAGGGCGGCCTTAATTCTGAGGGGGGAGTAGTTAACTAAGTTAACCGGGCGACGGCAATGACCGATCGTCCGAAGGCTCGCTCCGGCCAAATTGCTGACACAGCGTCTGGCCGGAAGCTCGTGCATAGCCGGCAAAGACTACCCATTGGAGTGGCCGCTATGAGTCTCTTTTTGTTAGCTTTAAGTTTCAGTTTAGATTTGACTTTATATGAATAAAGAGCTGTCGCTCATACAATTTATACTCCGACTACCGTCGTTAAATTCTTATTATTGAAAAACTGTCTGAGTCCCTAGGCCAGCAGGTAAAGAAGGGCAGTCACCCTTCCAACATAATCTTCGTAATTCATCTTGGAGAATTCTACGGCCAGCCGGCCAACCACCACAGCGACGAACCTTGCCACCCGCACCCCCCTGGATAAGCTGCAACTGCGAGGGACGACCCGTGGGATAAATAATTAATTAATTTACATATGTTTAAGAACAACTCATTGCGTCTTATGCCCTCTTCCCAGCAGAGCTCCATCCACCATCCGTTGAACGGATGGTCCAGCATATTGCCGTTCCGAAAATTCCCAGTTAGTTCCCCACCAAATTTGAAGGAATTTTTTTGAAAAATTAGGCGATGTTTTTTTTGGTGCAACTCTGAGTTCTTCTTCTTGACAGTGGAAATTGGAACATTCACTACGAAAATTAAAAAAATAATGGCGGGTAACTTTTGAACAGGACGGCGCCAATTCAAAAAATGCAGTTTATACTTGCAATAATTAATTAATTAATGCTCCATCCGTGTGGCAGCATTAGGTGTTGCTTCACTCTTTCCTAGGCGCATACCTTACTCACAACATTGAGCAGAACATTTAAAATGAAATAAAATATGAAATTTTAATAAAACAAAAAACAAACATTTATATATAATGAACTTGATTTGTTACCATTTAGACAATATTGGGCAATAACTGTTCATATTTTGTCTGCAGGCTGGCAAAAATCGGCAGACGTATTAGTTCGATTTGATTGTTTGCGTAGATCACTTGCAGTCTGTTACCAAGTATCATTTATAACGCTGAGCTCATTTTAAATGTTGTGCAAAATGCAACGGTCTAAACTAATGAGCCACAGCTGTTCAGATCAGCTGTTATCGGATGGTGGATGGTGGATGTGCTCTGTGGGAATCGGAGTTTCACATTTGTCAAAAATCCCAACCGTTTCAGACGGATGGACTCTATGGGAAGAGGGCATTAGTTCCCCATCCAAATTTGACGGACTTTTTTATGCGATAGTTAGTCGATGTTTTTTCGGCGGAACTCTGATTTCTTCTTCTTGACAGTAAAAATTGTAACATTCACTACAAGATTAAAAAAAAAATTTTTTTTTAAAAAGGAAGACGTCTAATCAATAAATGCTGTTTATACTTGTACTGCTTACTGCTCCACCCGTTTAACAGCCTTAAAAGTTGATCCCCTCTTTCCTAGGCGCAAAGCACTTCTCAGAAAGAGAGTTTGCCCCCAAGATTTGGGGATTTTGTGGTTTACAATAAACTAATAAAATGTAAATCGGTCAAAATGATTAATTTTCATGTTAAAAATACAGAAGTTATAATTTAATTTCCTTTTTTCCCCGATTGTTTCAATTAGCCTTATGATGATGAGTAGGCCGATCCTGACTGTATATAAATACCTGCAAATAGCTTTAAAACTGAAGGACTTGTTTGGAAAGAAACAGACTAGATTGGCTAGATTGTTGATCTGATGAAGAATATGTATACTTTCTAGGTTCGGAAATGTGCCCATCACTGCACTGAATACTTTTGAATAAAATTAGAATACTGGAAATTGGAATTGGTACTTTTTGATAGTGTCAAAGAATAACATCAAATCTACGGCATCTAAATGATAGTAAAAATGTAAAAGCAAAAGCAACTGTGAGTATCAACAATCGCATACAACAATTTTTTTTAGCTGTTCTTTCTGTCTTAAAGGAATATTTATACATGTGTTCCTGGCTTTACAGTTTGGCAGAAGGGCCAGCTTCGTCAAGAAAAATATCCGTAGCCAACAGGTGTATATTCTCCGGATGGCACGCATACCCGGCGAAATCCTTCACGTGCTTAAAATTGAGTGACCGTACATAAATTTCAGATTAATAACAATAAATCTTTTAGAGCCTATTCTCACAAAGCACCAGCAAAGATTTCTAGTTATTGCCAACTCCCTGATTTGCGGGAAGGTCCACAATATTATGTCGTGCCAAAAATTTCCTAGTTAGTCCTAGATCGTGGATTAACATATCTGTACGATTTCGTGGCGTATTTATCGGATAATTTGAAAAGTTCAACACTTAATTCTTGGCGCGAAACATTTAAAATTTAAGTACCTTCCATCCCATTCTCTGAACCAAAGCGTTTTAAGAAAAGTGAGCGCGTTTCCCAGGAACCAATTTGTTTATAAAATATATGAATGCTCTAATTAAAAGTTGAGAAAAGCTTTTGTCCTTTAAATAATAGCACTTAATGAAGTAAAAGCGACTGTTGACTGTTGATAGTGACAGTGTGGCTCAGTGGAAACTCTAATTTCACATCTAATCCCAGTCGTAAATTTGTTTTTTTTTTAAAGTACTCAGATCGAGTCCGCTAGCGTAAAAACTTTAATCTTTCCAATGTGAAGCATATACTATTGTATTGAACAATGTTTAAATGATTAAATTCATTTAAAATTGCTTGAATAATAGCAAAACTAACATCAGCTATGATGCGTTTGCATATTGGAAGCTTGAATTTATTTACTTTACAAAACTTATTTAGCTCGCATAAAAAGCGACAATATCATAAAAAGGCATGTGCTAGTGGGTAGACCAGGTGATACTCTGGAATATGTGCAACTAATGAGTAGAGAAGAATCCTTTTCTTCGTAAATTTTATAGCGTTGCCAGTCTGCTGAAATGAACATTTTTTAAAGTGTTCAGTAAGAAGCGCATGCCAAAAGAATAAAATTGTTATTCTTTTCGCTAGGGCTCACCAAAAGTTCATTTCAGGTGGTTGGCAACGCGAAGTAATTTTCTGGTATTTTTTCGTCGATCTGAGTACCGAGGTAAAAAAAGCCTGAACGCCAGCTGTTTGCCTCTCGCTCTCTCTCACGACCGGCTTAGTTTTCGTCGATCTGAGAACTAGGATTTATTTCTAAATTCAAACGCAGTGCTGCCTTTGATATCTTTTTTCCAAGAAATCGATTAAAGGCTCTGCACTCAGTAGTTCTGTTTGCATTAATGGAATGTTTGTTTGAATAAATTCGAACATTTCCATTATATAACCCCTGAAACTTGTAAAAGTTGCAAGATGAATCTTGGCAATATCAATAATCATTATAAGATTCTTAATAAAGTCGAATATACTTAAAATTTGTAGAACAAGCATTATTAACAGTGAAAAATTGTTCACTAATTACATGCTCAACACTCTGTTTCTCTGTGAATTTTGTACAGTATTCTAAAACAGTTTTTTGAAAATCTTGAATATTTATTTCTGCGATAAAGATGTCACATAGCTTTAGTGTGCAAATCTAATGGGAATTCAAATCTTCACTTCCCAATCCTAGAAGTTTGTCGAACACATTTTAAAATTGCTTGACTTTCATATATAGGGTTGGGTGAAGAAGTAATATCCCTGCAGTTCCGAAATTCATCACTACAAAAATTCATCACTGTTTAATCAGCAGCGGACTGCGACGCCGGCAGAGCCAAAAGCAAAGTCGGCAGAGCCGAAACTCTCCGTCTCCGATCGTAGGCAACGCAGAAAAATTTCCATCTCCCTCTCTTACTCCGTCTCTCTCCGCATAAAATGAGCTGAGAGGTGGAGGACAATGTATTAAAATCAGATCGACCTTTATACACCCTTGAAAATAAATTAGCATAATTTTTGTATTGTAGTCGTTGATTCTTATTAATTATATTATTTTATGGAAATACATTTTAAAAATAAAATTATTATGATAGTTTTGAAAGGTATTGATTCCTTTTTTAAGTGAATATAAGTTATGTGATTATTTTTCATAGTCGGACATGCTTTTATATACTCTGCTTTGACGCGAAGCGAAACATGTAAAGACAAATTAGGCAAAGGAAAGAACAATAGGATTAACGGTGCCCTTGTTTTCAACTGAATTTGTTTTCGCGGTTTTTACGTGCACTTGCATTTGAGAGAACGGAGAGAACAGATCAAAGCTGAGATTTTTTGTGAAATGTTATAACTAAATTTATCAGAAATTTAGGTGTTATTTTATTAATTATTTTGAACTGTACCTACATATGTATGTATACTGTTAATATATTTATTCATTATTTAAGGCGAAGCTTATAATAAAACTGTTGGGCCAGCATAAACTTAGCTGGACTTGGCCGGTGGCAAAACAAGAAACGCAGTAAGTTTTTATATATTTTATAATAATTTTTCTATTTTAGATATGTACATATACTTGGTCAGGAAGACCCAGTACATAAAGCACGAAGTCAAAAAAAGAGCACCGAAACCGAAACATCCTCAACACCTCCGAGACAACTGAAAACGTACATACATATGTACATATATTGAATTAAGTTAAATTAATTAGTTATATGTAATGAAATAAATAAAATAATAATGGAATAATGTAATAAAATAAAAATAAATTTATATGAAAATTTACTGAATGAATTTTACTGATGAAAAAAGCGATGAAAATGCGATGAAAAAGAGATGAATTACTGATTAAAGAGTGATGAATTACTGATGAAAATGTGATGAATTTATCACTTTAATCAGTAATTCATCACTCGTTATTCACTATTTCATCGCATTTTAATCACTCGTTCATCGCATTATTCATCAAAGTAAAGTTAACTAAGTTAACCGGGCGACGGCAATGACCGATCGTCCGAAGGCTCGCTCCGGCCAAATTGCTGACACAGCGTCTGGCCGGAAGCTCGTGCATAGCCGGCAAAGACTACCCATTGGAGTGGCCGCTATGAGTCTCTTTTTTTAGCTTTAAGTTTCAGTTTAGATTTGACTTTATATGAATAAAGAGCTGTCGCTCATACAAATTATACTCCGACTACCGTCGTTAAATTCTTATTATTGAAAAACTGTCTGAGTCCCTAGGCCAGCAGGTAAAGAAGGGCAGTCACCCTTCCAACATAATCTTCGTAATTCATCTTGGAGAATTCTACGGCCAGCCGGCCAACCACCACAGCGACGAACCTTGCCACCCGCACCCCCCTGGATAAGCTGCAACTGCGAGGGACGACCCGTGGGATATTTAAATAATTAATTGGCGCTCAACGCAAAAGTACCCACAGCGGTATAATAGGGATCATGTAAGTGAGCACCTCAGTCCTTATACTTCCCGGCATCTGCATTTGTGTGTAACTTATAATAAATAAAAGAAATAAATCGCGGCCAGAATATTCTTCTGCAGCTCGAATAAATAAAACAAGTAAATCACTGCCAGAATACTTTCTGCAGCTCCGCTTCCATAATTTGTTTGGTGTTAATTTAAAAAAATAAATACAATATTAATTAACATACTCATTATTTGATGACATTGTGGAATTTTAAATTGTGAAATTATATGCGTTATTATTATATTTGCTTCTGTGTGTTGTTTGCATTTTTAATTGCTAAAAAAATATAAATATATCAGACACATAAAATATAAATATAGTATTAAATATCTCGGCCTCGGCGCAAGAGCGCCGCTGGGAAATAAATAAATTGTTAATTTATTTAAATAATTTTATTGGCGACAGAGCTGTCACATCCAATTGTGGGCATTTAATTTAGCCCTTTTGTGTCGTTGTGTTTTTTGCTTATACTTAAAATTCTCTGTATTAGCTTTGCAACAATCTTGGGGTTTTTTTTTTTTTTTTTACTGCTTCCCCGCTCCGCGCCGGTACGCGAACCCGACACCGCGCATTCACATTTCGGCTCTGTTAGCTTCGCTTCTTTGTTTACCATAGCGGCAGCCCAGCTGCCACGGCCCCTTTGCTGTACAATTTTTTTTATGTAAAGCTGCTTAGGCATGCAACTCTTGGTAGATGGAATTTAACATTGCTGTCCATGTCATTCCTAGATTATAGGGATACCAAACAAAATAGCGACTCAGAGTCAGACTCTGAGAGACTTCTAATTACTTCTACACCGAGGCAGGCGGCTACCAGTGCCGCTCCCAATACAAACATGTCCATAAACGCGGATCAGCTCCAGGCTGTCATCCAGGCGGCTATCGCCAACGCCCTAATAGAAAAGGCCGGCGAGGACCAGCGCAGGGAGAATGAAATGCGCCGAACTATAGAGAACTTAGCTAGGCAGGTGGCAGAGGCGCGGATATCACCCGCCCAGATGGAAACCCCCCAGATTAAAGTTTATGAACCGATTGATATCTCAGGCAATGTTCAATGCAACGAGCCCTTAGACGCCGTTAAATGCCTTCCCGAATTTACGGGGGCACAAGAGACATATGTCTCTTGGCGGCAAGCGGCAGTAGCTGCGTATTATATATTTAGAAATTATGTAAATAGCTCACGCCATTACCAGGCGGTAATTATTATTAGGAGCAAAATTAGGGGCCCTGCTGATGCCGTGCTATCTTCGTTTGGCACTGTATTGAATTTTGATGCGATTATAAATCGCCTCGATTTCACATACAGTGACAAGCGACCGATGCATGTCATAGAACAAGAGATGGGCACCCTCAGGCAGGGAAATCTCTCTCTGCTACAATATTATGATGAGGTCGAGAAAAAATTGACCCTCCTCACAAACAAAGCCACCATGTCGCACGACGCCTCGGCGGCAAGGGTCCTATGCGAAAAATTCCGGGATGATGCCCTTCGAGTATTCATCTCGGGATTAAAACGCAGCCTCACAGATGTCCTCTTCTCGGCAAAGCCGAAGGACATGCCAACAGCGCTTGCTTTGGCCCAAGAAGTGGAGGCAAACCACGAGAGGTATTCCTTCGCGGCTTCGTTTGCAAGAAGCCAGGAGGATAAAGAAAAAAACAATATCCAAGGACGCAGGAGCGCCAACAGGCCACTCCTCAAAACAATTCGCAAACAGGT